AAATCATCTGTTCACCCAGACACCTGAACAATTTCCTTAGAATACCGAACACTTTTGTTATTGTTTAAAATAACCAAAAAGGGGAAAAAGAGAGCTATTTAGAATGTATCTCCCATATGAAATGTTAGTAATGGCAGCCAACCCTCTGGTAATTTTTTCCAGAAATGTCAAGTGATTAAAGAGTAAGGAAGAGACATTCGTGAACCCTAACTAGAACATTGCTACTAAGAGCATTATAAGGCTGAATAAAGAATGTTCATTCATATGCAGGGATTTAAGTGGGGTTTTTTTTGTGGGCTTTTTGTTTACTTCAGTTTGGGTTTGATTTTCTCTTTTAAAACTATGCCCTAATGCCAAATCTTACTTTTTTTTTTTTTTTCGTTTTCCTGTTTGAACTGATGCTATGTTAAGATATAAGCACAAACATCTCATAAGTGTTTTAAATCCATCCAATTGTTTGAGAAGGCATACGTGCTGGGCCAATGAAGCCAAAACATTGGAGCTAGGAATTTTGATGAAGATAATAATTGCTTACAGACCAGCTTGTTTTAACTTGCTGAACAAAGAACACAATTTTATACCACATTTTCATCACAGGCTTTTTCTCTGCATAATCACTACTATAATGAGCACTTTAAAAAGGGAGATTATCTACAAGTTAAAGAGTAAGGAAGTTATCAATTAGATTCCATCATCTTCAAAATTTCACTTACTCAAACTTTATATTAATTTTTTAAAAATTTGCTGACTTAAGCACTATTTTGAATTTTTATAAACCATTTCTTTAGTGTTCATAGCATAAATCTAGGAACAAAGACACTGGTAATTTCCAGTACTGCTCTGAATTGTTCTATAGCCTTGGACAGATCAGTCGTTTCGTTGTGCCTTCATTTATTTCTAGGACACTCCTGTATAGCAATACAGTTCCACTTTCTCACATCTAAAAGCTGCATTCAGGCTCTGTGCCTATGTCAAGAGTTAATTCCATCACTTGCAGACCCCATTATCCAACATTCAACTAATATTTATTCAAAGCCTACTCCATGGCAGGCAATGCAGTGAGTATGGGGATGAGCTCAGTCCCTAAGAGGACAGTGATACTAGTTTTCTGACTAACAGAAAGGATTGTCTCAGTTCTTCTGCTTGTTTCACCCTGACTCCAGATTTCTTATTCTTTACTTCCTCTGATATATATATTTTTTAAAGCCTACAGCAGCTGGTATTCCTCGGTATACTTCCTCTGAAAAATATAGCTGGAAGTCTTAAAATTAAGGTGGTATAAATCTATAGGATTGTCACTCAGTGATCAGATGGTTAGAACCAGGCAGTCCAGGAGTCAGCATGGTTCCAAGACAGATAAGAAGTCACGTCAGGCACCAAAGTCACCAATTCACAAGACCAAGATAACTCTGTGCATGGTAAGAGTGGTGGACCCTAGGTTTGCTGCATCGTTTTGCCCTTCCAATTCTAGCTTCTAAGGCGGAACTCTCTAGACCTCATCAAGTTATGTTGACTTCTGATTTCCTCAAAGCAGGGAGTCATTCATCTCAGTGCATAAGCCTTCAGTATCATTGTGTGAAAGCATGATCACATCTTCCAACTAAGTCTGAAACTTTGTAAATTACAGACAGGAAGGGAAGGTGGGAAATGGGAGACCTATGTTGTACAGAAGTATTAAGGGGCCAGACTCTAATGGCAGACCTTAAATTTGAGACTCCAAACTCTGAACATGTGCTGATCATTCCCCATCTACCCATCCCATCGGTGTTTATATGCCAATCCCCTGTAACTCTTTGTCTCTGATCTGTTGCTTACCCTGATCCTTGCCATTCAGAGGTATTCTGGTTCTAATCCATGGCCTTGTTTTAATCTTGGATCATGGATATGCTCCCAATCTAAAACACTTAACTGATTCAATATCCCTGGCCACACCTGATCACAAACTTTATTCTCTTTCCATTTGTTCCCATGCCATTCATTTACTCTCATCACAGCTTCTGGTCCTGCTTCCCCATTCACTGCTGCCAATAGCTCTGTGGCTGGCTAGAATTTTAGAACCTTTTTTAACTCATTCTGGCAGGACAAAGGAGATGAGTAATAATTAGTCTATTTAACAACAGTATTCGGAAAGGACCCAACTTTGCTCACGTTTAACTGTAGTATGTACATCAAGTTATTGTATCTTTCTGTATCTCTAGTTTCTCATCTTTAAATTAATATATATTCCCTGAAAAATATGTTTATACTTAATTAAAATAACATGCATTCTGGGATTACAATAAAGTTATAATATACTCCTGCATTCCAAGCTTTTAATGAGTTTTAATGAGTATTAAAAACGGTTAGAAACAAATCAGCTTCCTGAAAGGAGTAATTTCTTTCTTTGAATATAGTATCTATCTCACTTCACAAAATATTTCTGAAATGTTATGCAAAAAGAAAAATATTATAAACAAATTAAGTATTCAGAAGAAACTCAATGGTGAGTTTTTTCTTAATGAAGAAAGATTATGCAAATGTTAACAATTATCCCAAAATGTCTTATATATTCAGATATAATTGCTTTGAGTTCTCTGAAAAAGACTTATCTTAACAATCTTATGGGAAAGGCATATTCAAAGCACATTTTACTGGGTTAATTCAATTTAAGGCTTTGACTTTTCTACTAGTGAAACAGATATATTTTTCTTTTAATTTAAAGACACAAGACTTTTCATTGTGCTAGTATAAAGAGTAGATTCTAAAGTGTTATACAAAGTATGCTTCTAAAATGTAAAAGAGTTAAAAGAGATTCCTCATGTCAATTCCTAGGAGATGCAGTATGGAAAGGGTGAACAGAAGCAAACAGTTTCCTGAAATTGTGCCAAGGCTACATGACAACTGCCTGGCAGGAAATGCTTTTGGAGGGCCTAGATAAACAGACTATCATCTTTTTTTGGAAAAATCTTCCTCTTTGGCTTCTTATAAAGCAAATGTACTGAGTTTAGCATCATAAACACAATAAGGAGAAAAAAAATCAGAGAGGATTTTTAAATGATGGTACCTAGAAGATCTATATGATAATTACGTGATCTGTCCTTCACTTTTAACACACATGAATCTCACTGCTCAATAGGCATGTGCTCAATACATGCTTGTTGAAATTCTGCGATAAATGAAATCTTGCTTTTCCATTAAATTTCATCATGATTTTGGTGAAGCTTTATCTTATGAGAAATTTTCATTTAGCAGTAGCTTTTAATATTTTAGCATTACACAGTATTTTCTTGCATTTATATAGCAATGAATTTTTCAAAATAATTTATATCCATTAACTTAATTTTTGTTCTAACATCTCATTTAATAAGTGCTAGTGTTGTTGCTAAGCAAGCACTTATAAAATGAGATGTCAGAACAAAAATTAAGTCAAAGATTAACAAGTTAGTCAGAGGACCAGAGCTAAAACCAATTAGTCTGAAACATTTTCTAGTACATTTCCCTCTATCCTATGTAAATTAGACAATGGATCCAAAAATCCTACTTCCTTTTTAACTAAAATAATCCTTCAACCTCATCTCACTTTGCTCTCTTGAACTGCAAAAAGCATGATGAAGACCTAAGTGTGGACTCAGAACACCTACTATCAGCCAGAGAAATCTGCCTTGCATAAAGCCTGGTCGACCTTTTTGAACATCCTCTCTCCACTAGGCTACCTATTCTATTTGGCTACAGTCCCAATCACCCATCTTCTCTTCCTCCTTTCTCACACTGAAAGCACCCTCTGACTCACTCAGATTATGCCCAATCTTGCCTATTCCGCAATGGGGAGCAGAATTTCCCTGGCCCAAGGAATTATTACAAAAGGTGGCATGCCTCTCTGCCTGCCACACCTCATCCCATAGTCAAGTCACCTCAGATAACAATTTCAGCCACCTCAACTTTGGGGTCCTTCTCCATATTCCACCAACCATTTTTTCCAATAGCCACCCAATCTGCTCCTTTCCTCCCAAATAAGACATCTTTGCCTTTGTTACTTCTGGGCCTCACAGGGAAAAAAATAAAGTTTGTGTGTGGACCATTTTATATTCTCACCACAAAATGTAATGGAAATAGTGTGTGACTAGAAAATAAGAGTCACAAAACTGAAGGCTATTTGAATGTAAAAAATATACTTTAAATAATATAATCACCCGATTAGTTCTTACATTTTAAAATTCATCTCTATTATTTTAAATGGGGTATACCTATAATTATAATTAGGTAAACTTGGTATAGACCAGGAGATACGACTAAAGTTATAAATTGATAGTAGGTGTTTTGAGTCCACACCTAGGTTTTCATCATGCTTTTTGCAGCTCAAGAAAGCAAAGTGAGATGAGGTTGAAGGATTATTTTAGATAAAAAGGAAGTAGGATTTTTGGATCCATTGTTTAATTTGCATAGTGAGGATAGAGAGAAATGTACTAGAAAATGTTTCAGACTAATTGGTTTTAGAATAAAACTAACCTATGTTTAAAGTTTTCTCTAGAACTGGTATAACTCTAACCTTGGGAACCTGGCTTCTTATTCCACTTGTGCAAGCTGGACTTAATAAATTACCACTGAACAAATAAAGAAATATTGATAGAAGGAATAAATATAAATTTCATCCTAAAAGAACATATAAAAGTAAACCTTAAGAGAATTAAAGGTTGTGTTTTAAAAGGTTAGGAGGGGTATAAAATTGGAAGGGAGCAGGAAGATCAATATATTATTTTTTAAAAAGCTGCTGGATCTGTCAGGATATATTGTGTCCGTGTTTAGGACATTAAAACTCTACATAGGGAACACTTCCAGAATGATGGAGGGAGGTTGGAAAATCACCAATCCAAAAAGCCACAGTAAAACTATACAAAATTATTAAAACAATCGTTTCAGGATTTTTTTGATAATTGACCAGAGCACACAACAAATTGAAAAGTATTTATTAAAAACAAAAAAACTACCAAACCTCTGTAAAAAAAAAAAAAATGCAGGGGGACGGGCAGGCGGGGTACTGAGGCATCAGAGACTCTTCCTATTCCTTCATCCCCAGCTCCACATGGTAGTTCTATCAGGACAGGATTAGCTGTGAATACCCACTCTGCTGCTGGAGGGTAATGACTTCATTTGGTGTACAAGGTATTGTTGAAAACGAGTGACCTTAGAAAACAAGTGGTAAACAATTGGAAAATCAACATGGATGGCTGAGACTGCAATACTAGTTGGGGCAAGAAACAGAGCAGCTAGAAATATAGCAGTAAGATTCAGGAACAAGACTGCCAAAGTGGACCTTGACAAGCTCTCACATATCCTTGGTGTGTCCAAACTTATGCACTGGCTGAATGTGAGGCACTCACACATAGAAAACAAAAAGTCACAGCAGACTTGACCAAACTTTAAATGTTTCCCAGCCCATACACAGAGCAATACACAATGGGTAGAAGCCTTACTAGGCCCAAATTATTTAAGTACAACCTCTGACAAATTATTAGCTGAACACTAAGCTATGCTGACAATCCCTAGAAGTTAGCTAAAAATAAAAACAAGAATTAAAAGAAAAAAACTGGGGAGAGACATCAGTGGCCATACACTCCAGGGGAGACAGACTACAGAATTAGTGCAGGCAAGTCACTAAACAGGGAAACTAACCAACGATGGCAGCAACTCTGAGGTAGAGAGGCAGTCAGAATCCAGAGTTGCTGTATTATCTAAAACAGAAGGCAGCAAACTATAGACTATGGCCCAATTATGGCCCATTGCCTTTTTTAACATAAAGTTTTATTGGAAGACATCTATATTCATTCTTTACATACTGTCTATGTCTGTTTTCACATTACAACAGTAGAGTTAAGTAGTTACAACAGAGACTACATGGCCTACAAAGCCTAAATTATTTACTATCTGGTCCTTTATCGAAAAAGTTTGTTAGCCCCAACAGGAATAGCTAATAACAGGAAAAGTGCTCAACATCATTAGTCATTAAGAAAATGAAAATTAAAGTCACAGTGAGATACTGCTTCACATTCACTAGAATGACTATAATCAAAAAGACAATAACAAGTTTTGGAGAGGATGAATTAAAACTAGAATCTTCATACACCACTTGTGGAATGTAAAATGGTACAGCCACTTTGGAAAACGGTTTGCCAGTTTCTTAAAATGTTAAACATAAATTTACCATACCACCAAGCATTTCCACTCCTAAGTATCTCCCCTAGAGAAATGAAAACATGTACCCACACAAAGTCTTGTATGCAGTCTTTCAGAGCAGCTTTATTCATAATAGCCCCAAAGTAGAAACAATTAAAATGGCCATCAACCAGTTCATGGATAAACAAAATGTAGTATATTCTTATAATGGAATATTATTCAGCTATAAAAAGGAATGAAGTATTGATATATGACAAAACATGGATAAGCCTCGAATACATTATGCTAAGTGAAAAAAGCCAAACAAAAAAAAGTCACATATTCATTCATATGGTACATTTATATGAATTATCCAGAAAAGGTAAATTTAGAAAGACAGCAAGCAGAATAGCGGTTGCCTGGGTCTAGAGATGGGAGCTGAGATTGACTGCATATGGTGGACACTAGGGATCTTTTTCAGCTGATGAAAATGTTCCAAAACTGGACAATGGTGTTTGCACAATTCTGCGAATTTACTAAAAATTATTGAATTATATACTTAAAACAGATAAATTTTATATATATAAATCATACCTCAATAAAGTACTTTTTAAAAAAAACTCTACATGGATTCCAACTATTTATATCTTCCAAAAATTACTATTCCTTCAATCTCTGATGTTTTTAAAATGATAAAACTTTTCCCCAATCACTCCTGCTCTGCAACCCATTTTTTAACTTCCAGTCAACTTTTAACAGGTTGTGAAAGCTAATTCTAAGAAGTTTGATTCATTTTCTTTAATCTGTATAATCAAGATGACAATTTTGACAATGAGTTTCATTCATCCGCCAATAACCCAATGAGTTGATGTAATCAGGCAAAATGAATGACCTAATGACTCAGATTGTAATACTACTTTACAAAGCTGTAATAATCCTAAAGCTCCTAAGTCTGCTGAAGAAATAAAAATACCACCTGTCAAATGAAATGATTTATACATTCTCCAGTATGTACAGTATAAATCATTGTCTGACTCTGGCATGATACCCACTTTTCCATCCTGTTTTTAACCCTTTTTTGTCCCCTTCACAAAGAGAAAAAGAATTTCCATTGCACTTCACTGGACTTGTTTTTTCTCCTCAAAATGTCTCCCCAACATACAGTACCAATCTTTCCTCAGAGCTCAGGAATAAAGATTTCCTCCAACTAATCTATTCCCCAAAACATATAACCTAGACAAATAACTTCTGTGTGTTCTCTGTAATGAATTTACCCTCATGAAGAGAAAAATCATGAAAGACATATCAACAGTTCCTCTCTGCTGATGACCAGGCACATTCCTGAGTATGTGTCCTCCCCTCCACTTGCTGTTCCATTTCTAAGTCTCTCTGTGGCTTTCACAAGTACCTGGCTTGCACTGTGTTTGATCCACAAGGGCCTTGATGGCAGGTCGTGTTCCATCATCATTCCCATTCACTCCTAAAAAACAGAAAAAGGGTTCTCTCAATCTGTGGTTTATAGAACAAATCTTGAAATTATAATATATATGTATATATAAATATTTATAAATATAAAAATGAATGTAAAGATTTAATTTAGTGTCAGTCTTTAGACTTATTTTTATTCCAACCATCATCTTTCCTATATATTTCTAAATGTAAAATTCTGGGAAATTTACTTATAACTGAATATTCATTACATTCTTTAAAGTGCATATAGGTATTTTTTTAAAACCAATTCTTATCTGGCCTAATGAGTCTATTTAAATTAAAATTTAATCAAAGTAAATTCAACAATGTCTATTGAATACCCACTAATTAACAGGCCCACTAATTAACAGGATATTTAGGAACAAATAAAGAACAATTTTTGCCTTCAAAGAGTTCATAACAGGCCCACTAATTAACAAGATATTTAAGGACAAATAAAGAACAGTTTCTGCCTTCAAAGAGTTCATAAGCTGTTGAGAGAGAATGAACCACAACTATAAATAATTTAAATCGGATTGAAATGAGTACCACCATATTAAAAAAAAAAGCTATGGAACCAGAGGTTGCACCTGGGAACAGCTGAAGATTTCAAGAGTTAACTTAAAAGAAAGTAATGCTTCTTCTAAACCAAAATGTGGGTTGCGGGTGGTAACAGAATCCTGGGGAAGAGGCAAGTGAGGTGAGATGTGGCTGTAGAATTGGGTAAATAAGGACATATTGAAAGACCAGGCTGCAGTCTGACTGAGGTAATACTAGCTTATACTTATCGAGCACTTACTATGTGCCAGATACTCCTCAAAGCACTTTGCACATGTTAACTTATTTGATCCTCACAATAACCCTTTGAGGAATGTACTATTATTCCCATTTTATAGATAACAAAACTGAGGTATAGAACAGTTAAGTAACCTGCTCTTTGTTGCACAGACACAGACAAAAGTTGTAGAGCCAGGATCTTGAAATCAAAAAAAAAAAAAACCAAATTCTTTCTCACCCCTAACCACTCTCATTACAAAAGCAGTTAACAGGTATCTTAACTACCCCTTCTTCATTAATTCCTAGGCCATCTTTTAAAGTCTAGCTCAAATAATTCCTTCTCTACAAAGCCTTCTTCGACCCCTCCTCTCCCAACTAAACAATATCTCCTCTAAGCTTCATAGCACTTTATCTGTTTCAATCTTATGGCAAGTCATATTTCGTTCCTGACATTACAGATGTTATGTGTTATTCTTTTTTATTCTCTTTTAGTTTGATCCACTTTCTAGTCCCCACAACTCCTAGGACAGTGCCTGGCACATAATAAGGTTAACTAAATCTATGGAGCACTAATTAGTTCTTTGCAAAGCACTGCTAAGCATTTTACAGAAATTATTTCACAAAGCATAGCAACCTAATTTACAATAGCTATTTTTTAGCCCCTTCTGTGGTAAAATACTAGACGCACTTTAAATTCAGTAAACAAGACAGATACGGTCCCTGCAAGGAGCTTACAGGGAGGGAGGTTGGTACTATTGGTATCCGCAAGTATAACGATGAGGAAAAGTGGGGCCCAGAATCACAGTAAAAACTGGCAGGGCCAGAATTCAAACCCAGAGCTCCAGCTGAGGGTTTTATTCAACTTTTTATGAGAAGAGAGCAGGAAATGAGCAAAAGCCCATATGGAGGTTGTAGTATCCTAATATTTACCTGGTAGCTCAGAACTGCTATAGAGCCATCTGTTGAGGAGCCTAAGGAAGCATTCGACATCCCTGTGTCCCTTAAAGTGGTCCTTCGTTAATTAGCAGTGAGACCTTGTACTGTATCTCCTATCAAATAACCCAATGGAGTGTGGAAGGTAACAATGTATGATTCCTTACTTAAACGTGGTGCAACTATTTTTTGAACGGTGGGCTCAAACCTCTAGAGAAAAGGCCTCCAAAAATGTCTGAGTCGGTACTTTGCACAGGCAGGGCGAGGAAGCTGCCAGAGATCCTACATACAGCTCTGGCACCTCTCTATCCCTGGGGCTCATAAATACCGGCCTTTTTGGCTGAGGGCTGCGCGTCCCACCATCCAGACTCCCTTCTCCATACGCCACGTTGGGAGGTGCACTGTTTGGCGTATCCTAGCCATCTCCTCTAATAAAAGTATCAATAACCCAAAATATTGATCAGGCAGAAAGGGGCGTCCGGACACATGTGTCTTATTCCCCACAATTTTTAGCCCAACAGGAGATCACCTGACTTTACACCACATTCATCATGTTAATCGGCGGAGACACCTCCAAGAGCCACCGCCCGAGAGCAGGGGTTCCTCGGACAGCGCAGACCCGCGGCTTCCGCTACGGGTTAGAAAGGCCCCCGCCCCCAATGCTCGGCCGTTTGCCTGGCAACCTGCACGCAGAGGCCGCGACCGGGACGCAGGAGGAGTCTCCGTCGTGGGGCGCGCGTCCCGCCTCCCGCCACCCGCCAATGGCCTGCGCCCTGCCGCCTCGCCCGCTGGGGCTGCAAGGGCGTCGGGGCCCCGGGCCCAGCCCAG